AGGGAAGAGAAACAGCCTTCAGAAACTGAGAGCACAACTTTACAAGAGGACGAACACATGGAGAAAGAGTCTAGCCACATACTGATTTCTCTAGATTCAAGTAGCGAGAATAGTTTTGATGATCAGGATAGCCAAGCCTCTCAGGCCATCAGAGCGATCCCAGAAAGTCAGGATAATGATGGTATTCTAATTCCTGAGACCCAGGAATCAGTGAGGGAGGGCCAGGGAGTTGATACACCAAATAGTTATTCATCTGAAACTGAGGATCTGCATGAAGAGCAGGCAGAAGGAGGGGTGACATCCATCCCAGATACACAAGAGGAGGCAGAGGGAGGGGTGACATCCATCCCAGAAACACAAAAGGAGGCAGAGGGAGGGGAGACATCCATCCCAGAAACACAAGAGGAGGCAGAGGGAGGGGAGACATCCATCCCAGAAACACAAGAAGAGGCAGAGGGAGGGGAGACATCCATCCCAGAAACACAAAAGGAGGCAGAAGGAGGGGAGACATCCATCCCAGAAACACAAGAGGAGGCAGAGGGAGGGGAGACATCCATCCCAGAAACACAAGAGGAGGCAGAGGGAGGGAGACATCCATCCAGAAACACAAGAGGAGCAGAGGGAGGGGAACATCCAAGAACACAAGAGAGTAATGCCAGTGCTGGGGCTCATTCCACTACCAAGGAACTGATTGAGAAAGAGGATGAATACCCTGACCAGCTGTCTCCCCCACTCAACTTCCGTGATGCAGATGAGGAGCACCGAGATAATGAGGCATCTGAGATTGATCATACAAGCTTTATTCTTGATAGCGATGATGACAAGGATAAAGAATTAGAGAGCAACATATCTGCACCCATCTCTACTCTAGAGGGATCACCTGATCGTAATAGGAGTTCTGCTGGGGTCTCAGATATGGCTTCATCTCCACTGCGGAAAAGTATGAGATTACACATGGATAAGACAGATTCTCCTCAGAAATCTTTAGAATCAGATGCCAAATTTTCTGAGATGAGCTTGGGATCTCAAGTTCAAATTGAGAGCAAAAGCCAGCTCAGGGCTCGTTCTTCCCTTGGGGAGACTACAGGGGAACGTTCTTCACCAAGGAGTGCAAGGAAAAGTTTGCCTGCTTCATTTTCACAGAGACTTGCAGGCTTGGATAGCAAAAGTCCAAGGAAAAGTGTTGGGATGCTCTATTTGGAAAGTAATTTTGATAAAGATTTACAGAGTGGCAGCCCATGGAAAGATTTTAAGATGAAAAATGCTCTGGTGAAATTGACAAGACTAGATGAAAGTACAGCCACAAATCTTTCACCAGCTGGAATATCTAGACTTAAAACACAGTCCCCTTCAGAACATACCATAAGAACCCCTCACACGGAAAGCAAAGAGTTGCCACCCTCAGGCTCCCCTCGGCCGAATGATGTGTCCTTAAGTAAGAAGAAACTGTTTGAGGGAGGGAAATCAAAGATGGCTACTCAGAAGGCTAAGATGCACACAGTCACCATTGAGGCTGAAGTCCACCCAGAAGAGGCCATTAAAGCAGCTACAAGAGCCTCTCCGGGGATGTTAGCTGTTGTAGATTCACAGGAAGAGCAGGAGTCAGTAGGAAGCATCAATGAAGAGGTTCAGGATGAACTGTCAAGTCCCAAGTCAAAGAGTAGATCACCAGTGCTAATTCAGGATGCTGATGCAGTGGATGTTCCTGCAGAGGAAGATATCGAAGAGTTTGATGGGGTTACATCCATTGCAGACAACAACAGCAGCAAAGGCGATGACCCCACGTTATTAAAGAAAGATCTGGAAGAGATAGTTAATGAGGAGACTAGACTGGCTTCACCCCAAAGAAGAAAAATGTTTGAGGCAGACGCAACTTCTGATAGGACGATAAGAGAGAGGTCTAGTCAAAGCACATCCAGCATAATTGAAGAAGCAACAGAGCCAGCTGTTTCTGACACTGTAGAAGAACTGACAGGAAAAGAGAGTCAGGCTCAAAGGAGTAATGTGAGAGCGATTATGGCATCATCAGATCTCGGCCCAGCAGCCACAGCAAGCCAGACAGATGAGAGTGACGAAGAAGAAGAATTCCTGTTGCCAACACTTCTCAGAAGAAAAAGTGTGATGCCAGAAATGGAAGCAGAGATGCCAGATGAGAGTTTAGATACATCCAATGATGTCAGCTTGGGAGAATATAGGGAAGTATCCATAAGAGTGCCAGATCTCGACAATTCCCAGGCTGCTGTGAACAAGCAGGTGCAGGGGACATCAGAGGCTAATGATCACACTTCCAGCATCCACAAGGCCACACTAGCCACCATTGCCTCTAACCCAAAGCAGATGACAATGAAAGAGTTCTTGGAAAAGTTGGCAGCAAAGCCAATGCAGGCTCCAGTCCCTACTAAGCAAGAAGGTCCACGTCTGGCTTCTCTGCTTAAGTATACCAAGCCACAGACACCAAGGAAAGTCAGCCTCAGACGTCCCAAGGCTGATAAGAACCCAA